TAAAAAATCCTCACTATATTTTCTTTTCTTAACGTTCTTCTCTACACAATCCATTGTCATGGGATGGTTTGCTAATGAAAATAATATATAACAATAGCTTTAATAATACAAAAGATGATCTATGGCATAGTTCAGTCAATACAATTCATTAAAGTTTCCTATGATTTACCATTCTCTGTGTTGTTTTCTTGACATACCTGTTACTATCACAAGGGGGCAGTATTCACATCAACCACAACTGAATATAAAAATACCAATCAGCATCCAGATTAAGTTCCCATGGTACAGATATATATTTTTTTGCAGTAGTTGATGATTTTACAGTACATGATTTTACATTTACCCAGTAATTATAATTCATGAAGTGTCGTTTTACCTCCAATACTGCTGCTTTCAACACAGCAGCTGCTTTCTACACAGTAGCTTCTCTCTACACATGTATGACTGGTCCGCATAAGTACATTATGGCACCAACCCTGTCACATACACCTGTATTTGTAAGGGGTGTATGTGATGGGGTTAGCGCGATGATGTCATCACACCAGGTACTCATATGTGGGCGTATCTGCATGTAGGCAGACCCGCCTGGAGATGAATAGAGGAGCAGTGTCTCAGTTCCTAAGACCATCGAAAATATGTGTTTTCCGTTGGTCTTAGGCGACCCCTGTGAAAGGGTATTTCGACCCCCAAAGGGGTCGTGACCCACAGGTTGAGAACCGCTGGTCTAGGAGATTCGTCTGTCACCAGAACTACAATTCCCAGCATTCCTGGTGCTCCCCGCACTCTGGGCTTCTGCTTCTGGTCCTGAGCTGCCACCAAAACTACTATTCCCAGAATTCTTGGTGCTCCCCATGATCTTGGTTTTTTCTTCCTGCTCTGTCTTCTTCCCACAGCTTCCCACTCTGCCAAGTCCTCCAAGCTGCCAGCTCTCCCTCTCTGCTCTTCATCTGGTGACTTGGGGAGCCAATTTCCCCAAGCCACTCCACTCTCTGCCAGTTCTCCCGCTCTGCTCTCCACCTGGCGCCTGTGTATGCGAATTAACCTGCCATCTTTGTTGGGTTAATTTGCATAGTCACTCCTGATTGGCTGGTGAGCGTAGCGGAGGGGTGGTCAATTTACATGTTTCTTTTTTATTATATAGGATAGGATATCCTAAGAAACCAGAAACACCAATCAGAAAGTATGTATGCACCCGTATGTTCATAGCAGCACATTTTATAATAGCTAAAATCTGAAAACAACCCAAGTGCCCATCAGCATATGAGTGGATGAAAAAAAGCTGTAGGACATTTACACTATGAAATACTATGAAACTATAAAAAAGAGGGATCTCTTGCCCTTTAGGCCAGCATGGAAGAACCTGGAGAGTATTATGCTAACTGAAATAAGCCAATCAGAGAATGATAAGTGTCACATGATCTCACTCATATGTGGAATCTAATAAACAAAATAAATTGCTGAAAAAAGTCAATCCAGAGACACAGAAGCATAGAACCGACTGCAAAATCTCAGAGAGAAGGTGGGGGAGGGTGGGTCGGTGGGAAGAGATCAACGAAAGAAATTATGTGCATATAAAGATAACCCCTGGACACAGAAAATAGGGTGGTGAAGGCCTGGGGTGTGGTGAAGGGAGGGGTTAGGCTAGAAAGAATCAATGGAGGACATATGTAATTATTTCAACAATAAAGATTTACTTTAAAAATAAATATAAGATAAAAGAATTGAAGCATAATGGAATGTGGGACTGACTAGGAGTGTGTGTATGTGTGTGTTTGCACACCTTCATGCATGCTTGTTTACACTAAAGAAGGAAAAGGTCTAAATTTGAATATATGTTGATAAAGATATGAGAAAAAGGACTAATTGATGGTCTCCCTTTCCTCAGAGGGAGTCAGTGGGAGAAGGATGGCTTTGGAGGAGTTGGGAAACACCTCCAACTGTAACAGGAGGGGAGAAGAACTGGCAGAGGGACATTGGCCAAAAGACACATAGATTTGATTGTGGGAACTTGATGGGTTATTTTCTATTTAAAAAATATACATATGTTTTTATTGATTTTAGAGAAAGAGAAATGGAGAGGGAGAGAGAGATAGAAACATCTATGAGAGAGAAACATTGATCAGCTGCCTCCTGCACGATGAATGTAGGAATGTCTAAGACCTTCAAGCAAAGTCCTAACTAATAATTGGATTTCTCTTGAAAACAGTTGAATATGCGAGCCTCAAGGATTCTGGGTGCTTTGCTTTTTATGGGCATGTAAAACTGAGCACAGTACATAGACAAAGGAGAAGAAACTGGTAAAGGAGAGGTTGGAGGTCTGAAGAGGGGATTCCAGAACAAGGTCAGAGGGGAAGCAGGAAATTGTGGAGTTGAAGACAGAGGAGCCTTGCCCTTCTGGGACAGCAGGAAATAAGAAGGGCGACATGAAAACTGAGATTCGAGGCTGTGTAAAAACAGGAAGGAAACTTAGAAGAAAGTCAAGGGGCTCAGATTTCATCCTTTAAGAACTGTTTAAGCACATGGGATATGTTATCTCCTTTGACCTTGGCAACCACCATGTGCAAAGGCATGTCAAATTCATGTTACAGACCAGTAAACTTGAAGATTAAGAAACCTGCCCCCACTCTTCATCTAGTAACTGACAGAGGTGAGCTTCGAAACCAGGCCTATCTGATGTCCAATCAGGTGAAGTGTAACCAGGTCCCAATTTTAGTGTCCTCCACCTCATTCAGAGCCTTCCCACCATCGCATCCCAGACCCCTTTCAGCGGGTACCTACCAAGCTTCCATCTTCAGCTCAGGACTGAATAACCACACCCTCCCCCAGGATGTGCCAGGGGCTCCTCAAATTCAGTGTATTCTAAACTAGACTTTCCTCCCTAACCAAAATACACCTGTTCCTCCTCTCAGGACTAGCTTGATAATTTGTAGGATCCATACAAAATGAAAAGGCAGTGCCCTTGCTCAAACATCAGGAAAGAAATGAAATCAAAGGAACTAAGATATAAAGCTTTATTCCCTCCACCCCACGGCTGCAGCTGTAATTGCTCATCATTGACATTACTTTGAGGGGTGGGCAGCCACAGGAGGCGAGATACCTGCCCTAAGACCATGAATCAGAGAGAACTAGGCAGGATGGGAGAATAGGGTTGGGAGCAGATACATATCCTCATGTTGAACTCCACCAAAGCATCCCTAGTCAGCTAACTGAGCATTTGGAAGGGGTGATGTAGTTAACAATTAGGCCCAGTACACAACTGGAAGGTTGGGTCGACTAATGGTGCAGTGCTGATGTGGAGAGTAGGAAGCATTGGTAAGAATCACACAGGAGTGAGAAATGTTGATGAGTGCCTCCTTGGCTGCAGGAGAAAATGAAAATCTCCCATGCTCTGGCCTATTTGGCTCAGTGGTTGGAGCATCAACCCTCAGATTGAAGGTTCACGGGTTCAATTCCCAGTCAAGGGTGAGAACTTCAGTTGCAGCTTCAATTCCTGGTGCCCCAACTGGGGCCGCTTGCAGGAGGCAACCAATTCTTTTATCTTTCATATCGATGTTTCTCTCCTTCTCTCTCCTCCCTCTCCTCCCGTCCACTCTCTCTAAATATCAATGGAAAAAATATCCTTGGTGAGGATTAAAATAATTTTTTTTGCCGGTCTCTGTAACCTTTATTTTATTTTTATTTATTTATTTTTCAATCTTTATTGATGAAAGTATTACATAGGCCGTCCTTTCCCCCCCATAAACCTCTTCCAGTCTGCTCCCATACTCCCCTTACCTCCCCCCAAAAATAAAAGAAATTTAAATAAAATGTCCCCGGTAACTATAAGCCAGACATGTGTTTTTCTTCCTTTAATATCACCAAGGACCCCAAAAGGGCCACAGTACTAGAAATGGAAACCAGACCCCAGTTACCCTGAGGAGAGGGCCCTCAGAACATGCAAATCTCTCCCACAGGCTGGTCAGCTGTGGCCTCAGAAACAACTGCTGCAAGGACCTGGCCTCCATGCTGGGTGCCAGCCCCAGCCTGAGAGAGTTGGACTTGCGGCACAACGAGCTGGGTGACCGTGGCATGAAGCTGCTCTGCGAAGGGCTCAGGCAGCCTGCCTGCCAACTCAAGCACCTGGGGTAAGGCCCTGGGGTCATTACTGGGCAGAGGACAGGGAAAGGGAGGGAGAGCGATGGAAAGGGGTGTGGGAGCCCTGAATTGGATGGGGAAGTAAAGGGGAAGAAAAATGCATGGGCAGCCTGGGTTCCCTACCGGATCCGCCACTGACTTAGGCCATGAGACGGGCAGGTCTTCACCTGAGACTCGGTTTCTTCATCTGTATAACAGGACTATCATACCCACCTCATAGATGTGATGAAATAAAATGCATGTAAAACTAGAGCAGCGCTGGGAACAGAGTTGAGAGGCTCCAATGAGAACCACTGGTGAGGCCACATGTTCAGAGGATTCCTGCCCCGATTTACTTCTCCATCCAAGGCAGGCCTTCCATCCTTCCTTCTGTCCTTTCTTCCTTCCTTCCTTCTTTCCTTCCTCCCTCCCTTCCTTCCTTCCTTCCTTCCTTCCTTCCTTCCTTCCTTCCTTCCTTCCTTCTCTCATTCATTCATCCACTCTTTTATCCTTTCATTCATTTCATGACTCCCATGTGCCAAGCACTGGACCAGGCACTGAGGAGACAATATTGAGCAACAGACACAGACCCTTCCCCCTAAAGCTTACACTTAAGCATTGGCCCTTCTTGATTCCTTCCTTTCTTCTGTCTTTCCTTCCTTTCTTTCTTCCTTCCTTCCTTCCTTCCTTCCTTCCTTCCTTCCTTCCTTCCTTCCTCTTTCCATCCTTCTGTCCTTCCTTCATGGTCTCTTTCATTCACTCATTCATCTTTTCATTCATTTCATAACTCCCATGTGCCAAGCACTGGACCAGGCACTGAGGGGACAATATTGAACAACAGACCCAGGTCCTGCTCCCTTAAGTTTGCACTCCAGTGAGAACTAGACAGATGTTAACACACAGTGTGTATCTCTGAGCTTCGTGCAGTTTGTGAAAGGAAAGTGCACTGTGTTATGAGAGTGTAACAGGGGATGATGGAATTAGACTCAGGGGCAGGGAGGGCCTCTCTGGGGAAGTGACATCAGGCCGAGACCTGAAGCAGAAACAGGGGTTGACCAGGCCCAGTCAGGGGGAGTAGTCCAGCCTGAGAATAGCATGGGAGAGACCCCAGGACAGAATAAGGCTCAGAGCTCTGGAGAGCGGTGTGGCTGGGGTACAGTGACCCCAGCCCTCATTTCTCATGCTGTCTCCCGGCCACTTCCTGTCACTCCCCCCAGCCTGAAAACAAGTCCACAGCCAGTTTCTGACTGATCATTTCCTTGCAGCTTCTGGCTGGGGCCTGTCTCACACGCACAGAGCTGACAGGGCTCCAAAACTCTGAGTCCTGACCCCTCAGTCTTGGCTGAGGCTCCTGCCGGCTCTCAGCCTTTCCTCTGAGAGTCCTCCTTCCTCAAACCTAAAGCAGCAGGAGGTGAACACTCTACATGTGGGTCCTCCAAGAGCCCACTCTCACCCTTCACAACCAAGGGAACTCCATCCTCTGGGGCTGGCATCTTCCCACCTCAGTCCCCTCCCCTCTGAGCATGTGTGACTGTCACCATCTCCTATGTCACCACCTCTCCAGAGCTGAGCCTTGGCAGTAGGTCTGCATCCATGCCCTGCTCACCTGTTACTCCTCACCTCTTGGTTGCCTCAGAGCAGCTCTAGGACGTCCTGTGAAGGTTTCTGCCTCCCTTCCTTGGGCCCTGGGACTGGGATGAGAGGGACAACCTCTGCATCATGGTCCCATACTCTCCCCAGGTAACAACAGCTCTGACAGCAGGAATGAGGAAGGTGTGCGTCCTGACAGGTGCAGAGTCTTCACACCTGCCTTTTCAATGGCTCATAATAGGCTGAGCAGGTCCCTCCCTGTTGGAGGTGAGGGCAGCAGCCATCCCAAATCCAGCGGAAACCCCAGAGCACATGGTGTGTGAGAATAGAAACAGGCTCTTTCTTTCCAGGAAGCCCCCTAGCCTCTAAGAAGGAAATCCCAGGAACTACTTCTGTGTGGTCATTTGAGCCCATGGACACTGGTGGTTCTCTGGTGGATGCTGTGAAGTGCTGCCCAGTTCGCTTTCAGGGAAGAAGACCGAACCCCCACCCTGGGAGTGGTGCCAGCTACAAGGATGGCCTCTGCCAACTATGGCCATCTCACACAAGGTCACCTCCCCTCCCTGGGGTGGCCTGCATCCAGTGACTGGGGTAGTGGTATAAAGACCCTTCTCTCAGTACGGACAGTTCTGGGGGGTCATCCCCACAACAAACTTCCCACAGAGTCAGCTGTGTCCCTGGGGACTCCATCACAGCCCAACTTGTCCCTCGACCCCAGTGGTTCTCAACCTGTGGGTTGCAATCCCTTTGGCGGTCAAACGACCCTTTCACAGGGGTCGCCTAAGACCATCCTGCATATCAGATATTTACATTACGATTCATAACAGTAGCAACATTACAGTTATGAAGTAGCAACGAAAATAATTTTATGGTTGGGTCACAACATGAGGAACTGTATTTAAAGGGCCAGAAGGTTGAGAACCACTGCACCCAGTCTTGTTACCTCCCTTTGCCCTGGTATTGACCCAAAAACACTCCCTAATAAACCTCCTAACTCTACTTTCCATCATAGAACGTGTTTTCAGGGAACCCAACCTACAACAGGTTCCTGCAGGACCTGGAAGGTTCCATGATTCTGGGCCCTGACACTGTTCAGATCATATGGGCATCCCAGTACAACCAGGCTTCTTTTGTGCTTGCAGGCTGGACCAGACTCGGCTGAGTAAGAAGGTGCAAAAGAAGCTGAGGGTCCTGCAGCAGGAGAAGCCTCAGCTGGTCATCAGCAGCAGATGGTAAGGGGGAGACACAGAACTCCCTCAAGCTGACCCAGTCCCAGGGCTGACTCCTAAAGGCTGTTCCAGGAACATGGGCCAGAAGTGGGGTGGGGTGAGGTTGGAGGCAGAGACAGACAGAACCAGGAAGAAGCCAGGAAACCACAGCAGCCAGTGAGGTTGTTTATGTGTTTGTTTCTTTAGTTCAAACAAGATTATGCCCTTCTCTGTTTAACCCTTCCATGAGATGATAAGGAGGTGAAAAAAATGAAGAAAAGTGTATGAGTGAGTGGTTGAGATTTGGAACATGAAAAGCAATGACCATGAGGGGGAGATAAGGACAAGCAGAGAGCTACGGAAAGGACAGAACACCCTCATGCAATCTCCACACATATAAACACCCATGCACACAGCCCAGCTGAGGGGAATCCTGGGAACAGGAGAATACGATTTCCTGCTGGGAATTTGTTGCAGCTGCGTAGGCTTTCATTTTGGTATATTTTGGCCTGTGACTGCAAAGAACATCTATGCCCTGGTTCCCATTCCTCTGCCTCAATTAGTCTGGCAGAAGCCATTAGGAGGCCTTAGGAAGAGCCATTCCACAGGGGACAAGCATTCCCCTCAGACCCACAGTGTGTTGGGCACCGGACCATGGACACAGGCCCAACACCTAGGAATTAACTCAGCAGGGACACAGGCCCAGGTGATCCACAGCATGAATCCTTGTGCCTGGGATCAGCGTGAATGCTCTCATGGCCTATTTCCAAAGGACTTGAGCTGAGTTATGGTAGCTGGGCTTAGCTGGGCCAAGAATGAGTAGATTCCTGGCAGAGGTAGAGCCTCTGATCTCAGCTCCTTTGAGGAATGGGAGGAGGGCAGGGACCAGAAACACTCCTACTCAAAGTGTGGACCATGGACCAGCAGTGTCAGCATCAGCATCACCTGAGAGCTCATTAAAAATGCAAATCTCAAGCCTCACTCCAAACCTGCTGAATCAGAATCTGTGTTTTGACAAGGCCTCTGAGCAGCATTGGATTAGAAGTGAGTGAGCAGGGAGAGTGGCAGAGGTGAGATTGGAGCTGAGGGGTGGCAGGCAGTTGGGAGGACAAAGAGGCCTTTGGGCCATGTTAATAACTTCCGCTTCTACCTCAAAAGCAATAAAGAAAGAATTCAGGGCTTCAGTAGCTACATGATGACTCAGGTTCAAATTGAAGATCAGCTGCTGTGTAGAAATGGCCTGGAGAGGGACAGAAAAAAAGAGGGCACCTTTAGGGGGAGGATGTAGTGGTTCGAGCCACATATACCAGGGACTTGGCTGGAGGTGGAGGCTGTGGAGGTGGAGAGAAGCGACAAGAAAGGAGAGCTAGACTAGAGCCAGTGACAAGGTGGCTAATCAACTCTCAGAAGGAGCCAGGACTACATCCCAGTTCCTGCGATGGAGGGAGGATGGATGGGGGCCATCATGAAGACAGGGTCTATGAGAGAATGTCAGATGAAGGCCATGAGTTCAAATTCAGAAGGGTTGAAATTAAGTGGGGATGTCACGTAGACAGCCCCAACTTCCTCCAAGATCTCAGGGAGAATGACCAACTCTGTGTCTAGGAATTCAAGTGAAACAATCACTAAGATGGTCCCAGGTGGAGGACAGACGAGTGATGGCACATCTCCACCCCAATGGCAGAGATCAGAATCAGGTACTTAGAAGGGGCCAGGCTGGGAGCATTGTTAACTGGGACAGGGGTGAGGAGGATATGGAAGGCCATCCCCTCCATGCTCCTGCCTCTGGGGTGAGCCATGGCAAAATTCACCACTAGAGAGGCCTTGCTCCATGCAAGATCTTCCACACCTAGAACCTGGCAAGATCTCTGGTTTCCTCCCTCCCAGGATCAGGGCCTGAGGCTGCTCCTCTCCAGCTCATGTCTGGCATCTCTCAGTCTCTGATCCACGCTGGGCTTCTGAAGCCTGGGAATCCCTTTCCATCACTGCCCATCCACCTTTGGAACCATGTTCTTCTCATAAGCTACCTTTCTGGTGGATGAGGGAATAGAAATGCCTTCTGTACCAGTGGGTAGGGGTGGCATCAGGGGACAACAGGGTTGGGCCTCCTCAGATAGCAGGTAGGCAGGCCCAGGAGCATGGACAGAGGCAACTAACACACACCTTCCAAAGTCCAGGCAGAACAGCCTTGAGCAGAACCCCTCCATGTTCTAGCTTAAGGGGTAGGAGAGGCCAGACAGGAGACTCTAAAGCTGACCACTGCCCTGTCTGTTCCTCTCACATAGAAGAGATGGAATCCTCATATTGGCCTTATCCTAGACTTCAGAGGAAACAACCAGTGGAGCCTCTAATGAGGCTTAATGACTTCTGGGGCCCCACAGGGCCTGTGGCTACAGAGATGGTTGACAAACACAGGAGGAGTTGGTACCAGCTAGTGAGGGACTCTACTGTGCCAGGCTGGCCCCCAACCCCGCCATCCCCACAGTGATTCCCCACAGACACTCAGCACCCCAGTCATAGCCATGTGGGCCCACTCTCATTGCTAAGCCACCAGGCAGACAGACCAGGGCTGGATTAGTGCTTTTATTATTGAAACAGATGTTTTATTATGCAAGCAACAAAGAAAAAGAGTCCAAGGGACTACCACTTACTCATTACTCAGCTACAACAACCATTTTCCAAAATCTGTTTCAACTATTTACTTTTCCTGTCTTTTGTTATTATAGTACTTGAGGCCCGGTGCACAATATTTGTTCACGGGTAGCGTCCATAGCCCTGGCCGGTGATCAGGGCTGATCTGTGGGGCGAGGTGTGGGGTGATCGGGGGGACCCCTGCTGGCACCTGCTTTGGCCTGCCTGGGGCCTGTGGGATGGGGGCAAACCCTGCATTGAATATCTGCCCCTTGGTGGTGAGTGCACATCATAGCAACCAGTCATTCCACTGGTCATTCCGATTTGCATATTAGGCTTTTATTATATAGGATTTTGTTTTATTTTTTAAATACTTTCATTTTATTGTATGTCGTGTATACCTCAATCAAGTTTTTCTTTTGTTTTGGTTTGGTTTTTTATTGATTTCAGAGAGAAAGGGAGAGGGAGAGAGAGAGATAGAAAGGAACATCAATGATGAGAGAGAATCATTGATCAACTGCATCCTGCATGCCCCCTACTGGGAATCGAGCCCACAACATGGCAGGTGCCCTTGACTGGAATCAAACCCAGGACCCTTCAGTCCATGGGCCGATGCTCTATCCACTGAGTCAATACAGCTAAGGCGTTATTATAGTATTTTAAATACAAGATATCAGGTGATCTTGTCCGTATATATTTTGTGATGCATTTTGAAGAATATAAATAAAGACCTTTTCTCCCATAACCAAAATGCCACTGTCATATCTAAGAATGTTTACAATAAGTCATTTTCATATCATCTAATACCCATTCTGCATTCAATATGCTCAATTGTCCAAAATGTGTCCTTGCAGTAGGTTTGTTCTAATCAGGATCAAAAAAAGTCCACTCGTTGTATTTGGGTTGGTATATCTCATAAATCTCATTTAAATCTCTTTCCACTTATATGTTTCTGTCTTATTAACATCCACTGTGTGCAAAGTACCATACCAATAACAACCAGCCATGAGTTGTGCCTCCCAAGGGTTTCCAGTCATAAGTAATTAACATCTATAATCTTACTCCTGATCTCTTACATAACACATTACCATTCGCTGTCACAGACATGATCTCAGCTGGGTGATAATATTACTCCCAACTTACACACACAGAAGCTGGCATCCCAGGAACCCGCTCTATACCAACCAGGAACCTGGGGAAAGTTTCTGTAATATCTCTGTAAGTGTTATTTTAAGCTCAAGTGGTTATCATTAATATCACCATATAGACTGCATTAATTGTTGAAAAGTAGGACCTTTAAAAATAATAACTTTCCTATTTTATTGTTCCTAACACTATTATTATTTTCATCATCATCATCATCATCATCATCATCATTCTAGAAACAGTTAAACATCTGCAGTCATATATTAAGCCGTCAGCATACATTAGGTCACTTATTACTCACAACTCTATGAGATGGTGCTATTATTACCTTTACTTACAAATAAGAAAACTGAGATTAGTCAGTTCCAATGACTTGCTCAGGGATCCACAGTAGAGAGCAGAGGGGCTACGACACAATCCCAAATCCCTCTGTGATATGTTTGAGCTTGCAGCCACTCTACTAGCTATGCAGTGCACAGCTTAGGGTGGGATATTCAGTACATACTCAGGGGGCTTGTGTAGAGTAATTAATTCAATGTCTACTTCTCTCTGTATTCCCCAGAGTTCACTTCCCCATGGGTGGCTCCTACCCCTGGAACAAATCCAACAGAAACCCCAGAACACAGGGCCTGTGAGAGTGGCTCTTTCTCTCCAGGACACCTAGCCTCTAAATCCCAGGACCTACTCCTGTGTGGTCAGTTTGAGGCCATGGGGCCTGGCTCTTCTCTGGTGGATGCTGGGAAGTGCTGCCCAGGTCCCTTTCAGGAAAGAAGATGTAACCCCAGTTCCTGGGAGTGCTGCTGGCTACAGGGATGGCCTCTGCCAAATCACGCAAGGTCACCTCCCCTGCCTGGGTTGGCTGGCATCCAGTGACTGACTGGTGTAGTGGCATAAAGCACCTCCTCCCAGGATGGAACATCCTGGAGGGTCATCCCCACATCAGAAGTCCCACAGAGTCAGCTGTTTCCCTTGAGATTGTATCGTAGCCCAACTTATCCCTCTGCCCATTCCTGCTTCCTCCCTTTATTTGCCCTGCTTGACCCAAGAACATTTCTGAATAAACTTCCTAACTCTATTCTCCATCTCAGAACCTGATTTCAGGGAACCCAACCTACAGTAGTTCCTACAGGACCTTGAGATCGTGTGGGGGTCCCAGGTAACCAGGCTTCCTTTGTGTTTGCAGGCTGGCCATGTCTCCCAGTAATGAGGAGGTGACAGAGATGGAGGACACCCAAATGCATATGATACATGATCTGATCAGTGAGCTGTTAACCGACGATTGGTAAAGGGGGAGACACAGACTTTGCTCAAGCTGACCCAGGCCCAGGGCTGACTCCTAGAGGCTGGTGCAGAGACATGGGCCAAAAGTGGGGTGGGGTGATGTTGGAGGCAGAGACAGACAGAACAGGAAGAAGCCAAGAAAACACAGCAGCCAGAGGGAGTTTGTTTGTTTGTTTGTTTGTTGCAAAGAAAATGATGTCTCTCCTCTGTTTAAAGCCTTCCACAAGATGATAAGGAGATGAATAAGTGAAAAAAACTGAATGGGCGATATTTAGAACATGGAAAGCAACAACACGAGGAGGAGACAAAGAAAAGGAGAGAGAGCTTTGCGGGGAAAGACCACCCTCACTCAGGCTCCACACATATAAACACCCATGTACAGAGCCTCGCTGAAGGGAAGCCTTGGAAGGAGGAGAATGCATCTTCCTCTGGGGCATTTGGCATGTTTTGACTTGTGACAGCAAAGTGCACTTATGCCCTGGTTCTGACTGCTCTGCCTCACCTGCCATGGCAGGAAATGCCTCCTAGGCTTAGGAGGAGCCATTCCTCAAGGAACAAGCATTCCCCTCAGACCCACAGTGTGTGGGGCACAGGCCAATGGACACGGGCCCAACTCCTAAGAATTAACTCAGCAGGGGCACAGGCCCAGGTGACCCACAGCATGAATCATTGTGCCTGGGATCAGCGTGAATGCTCTCATGGCCTATTTGAGTTCGTCCAAAGGACCTGAGCTGAGTAATGAAAGGTGGGAGGGTGTAGCTGGGCCTCAAGTGGGTAGATTCCTGGCAGAGGTAGAGGCTCTGATCTCAGCTCCTTTGAGGAATGGAAGGAGGCCAGGTACTAGGAACACTGCTACTCAAGTGTGGACCATGGACCAGCAGTGTCAGCATCAGCATCACCTGAGAGCTCATTAAAAATGCAAAGCTCAAGCCTCACTCCAGACCTGCTCAATCAGATGTGTTTTGATCTGAGCAGCATTGGATCAGAAGTGAGTGAGCAGGGAGAGTGGCAGAGGTGGGATTGGAGCTGAGGGGTGGCAGGCAGTTGGGAGGACAAAGAGGTCTTTGGGCCATGTTAATAACTTCCGCTTCTACCTCAAAAGCAATAAAGAAAGATTTCAGGGCTTCAGTAGCTACGTGATGACTCAGGTTCAAATTGAAGATCAACTGCTGTGTAGAAATGGCCTGGAGAGGTACAAGAGAAGAAGAGGGCACCTATAGGGGTAGGACGCAGTGGTTCAAGCCACTGATACCAGGGCTTTGGCTGGAGGTGGAGGCTGTGGAGGTGGAGAGAAGCGACTAGAAAGGAGAGCTAGACTAGAGCCAGTGACAAGGTGGCTAATCAACTCTCAGAAGGAGCCAGGACTACATCCCAGTTCCTGCATGGATGGAGGGATGGATGGGGGCCATCATGAAGACAGGGTCTATGAGAGAATGTCAGATGAAGGCCATGAGTTCAAATTCATAAGGGTTGAAATTAAGTGGGGATGTCACGTAGACAGCCCCAACTTCCTCCAAGATCTCAGGGAGAATGACCAACTCTGTGTCTAGGAATTCAAGTGAAACAATCACTAAGATGGTCCCAGGTGGAGGACAGACGAGTGATGGCACATCTTCACCCCAATGGCAGAGATCAGAATCAGGTACATTGAAGGGGCCAGGCTGGGAGCATCATTAATTGGGACTGGGATGAGGAGGATATGGAAGGCCATCCCCTCCATGCTCCTGCTTCTGGGGTGAGGCATGGCAAAATTCACCACTAGAGAGGCCTCGCTCCATGCAAGATCTTCCACACCTAGAACCTGGCAAGATCTCTGGTTTCCTCCCTCCCAGGCTCAGGGGCTGAGGCTGCTCCTCTCCAGCTCATGTCTGGCATGTCTCAGACTCTGATCCATGCTGGGCTTCTGAGGCCTGGGAATCCCTTTCCATCATTGCCCATCCACCTTTAGAGCCATGTTCTTCTCATAAGCTACCTTTCTGGTGGATGCGGGAATAGAAATGCCTTCTGTACCAGTGGGCAGGGGTGGCATCAGGGGACAACAGGGTTGGGCCTCCTCAGATAGCAGGTAGGCAGGCCCAGGAGCATGGACAGAGGCAACTAACACACACCTTCATAAGTCCAGGCAGACTAGCCTTGAGAAAGACCCCTCCATGTTCTAGCTTAAGGGGTAGGAGAGGCCAGACAGGAGACCCTAAAGCTGACCACTGTCCTGTCTGTTACAGAGGAGAGCTCCCCTCAAGTATTACAGAAACCCTACTGTCTGTCATCTCATGAACCTCTGGGGAACCAACCAGTGGAAACTCTAATGATGGATGATGACTTCTGGGGACCCACAGGACCTGTGGCTACAGAGATGGTTGACAAACACAGGAATCTGTACCGGTAAGTGACAGGACTCTGGTCTGCCAGGCTGGCCTCCCCACTTCCGCCATCCCCACACTGGATCCCAACAGACACTCAGCACGCCACTCATGATCCATTGGGTCCCTTCTCATTGTTGAGCCACCAGACAGACCGACAGGGCTGTATTAGTACTTTTATTATGGAAACAGAAGTTTTATTATGAAAAGTTGCAAACAACAAAGAAAAATGTTCAAGGGACTACCACTTACTCATTACCCAGCCTTAACAACCATTTTCCCAAATTTGTTTCAACTATCCACTTTCCCTTTCTTTTGTTGTTATGCTATTTTAAATACAAGATATCAGGTGATTTTATCCATATATGTTTTGTGATGAATTTTGAAGAATACAAAATAACCATAATACCATTGCCATAACCACAATGCAATTGTCATATTTAACAACATTTACAGTAAGTCACTTTCATATCATCTAATACCCCATCTGTATTCAATATGCTCAATTATCCAAAATATGTCCTTGTAGTAAGTTTATTTTAATCCAGATCCAAACCAAGTCCACTCATTTTACTTGGTTTGTTATGTATCATAAATCTATTTAAATCTCTTTTCATCTACACATTCCTGCTTTATTAACATCCACTATGTGCAAAGTACCATACCAGTAACAAGGAGCCATGAGATGAATATGGAGCCATGCCTTCCAAGGGTTCCCAGTCTTAAGTAATGAACATCTATAATTTTAGTTCTGATCTCTTACATAGCACATTCCCATTCACTGTCACAGACATGATCTCAGCTGGGCAATAATATTACTCACAACTTACACACAGAACCTGACATCCTAGAAACCCACTCTATACCAGCAGGGAACCTGGGGAAAGTCTCTGTAAGTTTTATTTTAAGTTCAAGTGCTTATCATTAATATCACCATGAAGATTGTTATTAATTATTGAAAATTAGGCCCTTTAAAAACAATAACACTTGCCTGTTTCATTATTAATAATAATATTATTACTATCATTATTATTCTCATCATTATCACCATTATAGAAACAGCTAACCACACCCACGTAAGTATTAAGCCATCAGCATACATTAGGTCACTTATTACTCACAACTCTAAGAGATGGTGTTGTTATTACTTTTACTTAAAAATAAGAAAACTGAGATTAGGGAGGTTCAATGACTTGCTCAGGGATCCACAGTAGGGAGAACAGGGGCCCAAGAATCAAACCCAAATCCCTCTGGCTGTGACATCCGAGCTTGCAGCCACTCTACTAGATACACAGTGCACTACATGGGGTCAGGCATCCAGTAGGTAGTCCATGAGCTTGTGTGGAGTAATTAATTCAATGTCTACCTCTCTCTGCTATCCCCAGAGTTCACTTCCCTGTGGCTGGTTCCTACCACTGGCCCAACGTGGGTCTCCACTTTGTGGTGACAGAGCCAGTGACCATTGAGATTGAATTCTGTGCTTGGGACCAGTTCCTGGACCAGATTGTCCCACAGCACAGCTGGATGGTCGCAGGGCCTCTTTTTGACATCAAGGCTGAACCAGGAGCTGTGGCAGCTGTGTACCTCCCTCACTTTATAGACCTCCAAGGTGAGTGACAGGGAGGAGTGGGGGAAGGTGATGGTAGTGAGAATGGGCTCGAAATGGCTTCCAATGGCAATATCCTGAGGGAAGGACTTGGGGCTTCCTTATACTGACTAAGGGGGTGTGGTGTTGAAGAAGTGGAGAGTGCTTTCTTTCTCATTCCACAGTGCTCTGGGCATCTTTTTTGAAACATTTTTGTTCCCAAGCATCATAATCATTTTTGCCTGAATTACTTGAAGATTCCCCTCAATAGAAAGTGGTCTCCTCAATAACAATAATAGCTATCATTTAGTAAGTTCTCTTCACATAGATCATATTACTCAGGGTCTCAGCAGGAAACATATGATGTATCAGTTGAGATTTTTTAGAAGACTCTTCAAAGACTAGTCTATTTGCAAGTAAGGCTAAGTGAACAAATGAGAAAGGTTGAGGTACCTGGAGAATAGCAACAAATGGGAAGCCATTGCTACTCTTAGAGGCAGGGAGAAGAAACAGTGTCACCAGACTCCATATGAGAACTCAAGCCACAAAAGTAGGGCATCTCAGAAGGAGACTTAGTCATAAAGGGTAATGTTATTATCTCAACACCTCCCAAGACTTCCCACAGATAAAATTCTGAAAATATAAGCTTACAAGCAAAACCTTAGAAACAGGGAACAGGCATCATAAGTAAGAAGCAATAGAAACCTCAGGTTATATCAGGCCTATAAAGAAGTCAGACATTTAAATTATCAGAAAAAAATAAGTATGTTTTTTATGCTTAAAGAAATCATTTTTAAAATATGAGCAAGAAGTATTAAAATGATGAATCAAGTTTGAAACAAGGCTACATTGACAGAAAATATAATACAGCATAATTAAGAAAAGAATAAGTGACATGGAAGATACTATGAGAAGGCCTAACATACATCTAATCAGAATTCTAGGAGAATATTATAGAGAGAATGGAGAGGATGTTATATTCAAAGAATTACCAATAAATTTCTAGAATTGCTGAAAGATGTGATTTCTAGGAAGGAAACATATCCAAAGCAGGAGACAGGGATACATGGAAATCAGTAATCAACCCATTAAAGTGCATCTCCAGAATACAGACATCTAAGAGCAGTTTTTAACAGCACCCAGAAAGGTGCTACAATTAGGATGACAACTGATTTTCAACAGTAACAATGAAAGGCAGAAGACAATAGAATATTCTCATAGTAATGAGGAAATAATTGTCAATCAAGAATTGTAACCACAGAAAAATTATTGTTTAAAAAGTAGGTAAAATAGACATTTTATTATTTCTTCATTAAGTTTATTTTTTTCCAATATACCAAAAAAATCTTCTATTTGTAGATACAAAACAATTAGCCATTTACATGCAATAAAAATTAATATTTCAAGAAAAACGATCTTAAATATAATAATACTAGAGGCTCCGTGCACAGATTTGTGCACAAGTGGAGTCCCTCAGCATGGCCTAAAGAGATCAGGCCAAAACTGCCGTCCAGCACCACCTGCCACTACTGCCTGCTGCTCGTGTTCATCCCGGCCCCGCTGCGCCTGCATCTGCCACTCAGTAGACTCGCTCCACTGCGGACTCTGTGAGCCCTGTGTCTGGTACCCCTCAGTCAGCTGATCAGCACTTCCACTGTGGGAACACACTGACCAGCAGAGGGCAGCTCCTGTGCTAAGCATATGCCCCCTGGTGGTAAATGCATGTAATAGCAACTGGTCAACCGGTCGAATGGTCAACCAGTTGAACGTTCGCTTAGGCTTTTATATATATACTAGAGGCCTGTTGCACGAAAAGATTCGTGCAATAGGCCTTCCCATCCCCTGGTTGCCTGCACCGGTTTTCCTTCTGCACCGGGGACCCAGGACTTCGCTCCGACCAGAGCCGCCTTCAAAGCCTTCGCTGCTCTGGCCGGAGCCGCCTTCAGTCTTCGCTCCGCTCCTACATATGCAAATTAACTGCCATCTTTGTTGGTGGTTAATTTGCATATCTCACTGATTAGCCAATGGGAAGCGTAGTGAAGGTAGGGTCAATTACCCTGTTTGTCTAGTATTAGATAGGATACTACAATCCTGATGCACAAAATTCATGCAAGGGCCTCAACCCTCACAGCCACAGCGGTTTGCCTCAGCCTTCACTGCCACTGCAGTGGCTGCCCCTGCCTCAGTCCCTGCCGCTGCAGCGGCAGCCTCTGCCTTGGCCCTTGCAGCCCCTGCTTCATCCAGAAGGACGTCCAGAAGGATGTCTGGAAGGACGTTCAGCTGTCCAGTCTAATTAGCATATTATGCTTTTATTATTATAGATAGATTACATGCAATAAGCATTAATATTTCAAAAAAAAGATTTTAGATATAATAATATTACCAAAACTGTACTAACATCGTATATCACTAAAGTTGTAGGAAATATTAAAAATCTGCAAATAACAGGATTACTTCCATTATATTCAAGAATCTTTTTTCCCCCCCCCCCCCCGCCCCAGCTCTATTTTTGTTCATCAGTTTATGTAGTTCATTATATTCCACAAATGAGTGAGATCATGTGATATTTATCTTTCTCCAAATGGCTTATTTCACTTAGCATAAAGCTCTCCAAGTCCATCCATGCTGTTGCACATGGTAAGAGTTCTTTTCTTTTTTACGGCAGGGGAGTATTCCATTGTGTAGATGCACCACTGTTTTTTAATCCACTTAGCTGCTAATGGACACTTTAGCCTGTTTCCAAATTTTAGCTATTATAAATTGTGCTACTGTGAACATAGGGGTGCAAATATCCTTTCTGTTGTTGATCTCTCTGTTAAAGTCTTCTAGAAGGTATTTTTTATATATTTAGGAGCTTCCATATTGGGTGCATATATGTATGTTTACCAGGGTTATATCCTCTTGTTGGATCGATCCCTATAGTATTATGTAGTGACCTTGGTTGTCTCCTGTGATGGTCTTCATTATAAAATCTATTTTGTTGAATATGAGTATTGTTACTCCAGCATTTTTTTCTTTCCCATTCGCATGGAAAATTTTTTTCCATCCCTTCACTCTCATCCTCTGTGTGTCTTTTGTTTTGAGGAGGATCTCTTGTAGACAGCATATAGTTGAGTCATGTTTTTGTATCCATTCAGCTACCCTATGCCTTTGATTGGAGCATTTAATCCATTTAGGGTTATTTTTGATAGGTACTTAATTTGCTGCCATTTTAATTCTGTATGGTTAGGTTTCTCTCTCTGTTTCTTCTCATTTAGAAGTCCCATTTCTTATAATTCAGGCTTGGTGGTGATGTAATCCTTTAGCCTTTTTTGTCTGAGAAGGTCTTTATTTGACTGTTTATCCTGAATGATAGCCTTGCTGGATATAGTAATCTTGGTCTCAGATCCTTGCTTTCCATTACCTTGAGTACTTCATGCCATTCCCTTCTGGCCTGTAGAGTTTCTGAAGACAAATCAGGTGTCAGCCTTATGGGGACTCCTTTGTAGGTAACAGTTTTCTTTTCTCTTGCTGCATTTGAGATTCTCTCTTTGTCTTTAATTTTTGGCATTTTAATTATGATGTTTCTGGGCGTGGGACTGTTTTGGTTCTTCTTGTTTGAGGTTCTCTGTGCCTCCTGAACTTGTGTGACTTTTTCCTTTACCAGGTTAGGGAAGTTTTCTACCATTATTTCTTTTTTTAAAAAATTAAATCTTTATTGTTCAGATTATTACAGTTGTTCCTCTTTTTCCCCCAATAGCTCCCCTCCACCCGTTTCCCACCCCACCT